TGCTTCGCACCCGCGTCTCTCCCCGCTCACCCTTCTGCACCCCATTCCCCCCTCTGACCTCCCCACTTCGCCCCTCTCGCTGCGCCCTCGTTCCGCTGCTCAGTGCGCGGCCGTTCTCTCCCCGCGGGCCCACCCCGTGCGCCCAGCCCCTTTCGGCCATCCATGGAATCGTGGAATCGTTCGGCCATTCATGGAATCATGGAATATGCCGAGTTGGAAGGGACCCATCAGAATCGTCCAGTCCAACTCCCGGCCCGGCGCAGGACTCCCCAAGAATCACAGCATGTTCCTGAGCACATTGTCCAAACGCTTCTTGAACTCAGACAGCCTTGGCCACTTCCCTGGGGAGCCTGTGCCAGTGCTCAGTCGCCCTCTGGGTGAAAAACCTTCTCCTGATATCTAACCTAAACCTCTCCCGAATCAGCTTCATGCTTTTTCCTCGAGTCCTGTCACATTCGTGCTCCTGAACCCTCTCCAGGGCACCACCAGCCTGTGGATGTAGGGGTTCACCTGTCCCTGCCACTTTCAGGGGCAGTGGAAAGGCCCCGTGGACTTCTGGCAGCACAGAATCCAGTACTGGATTCTCCTGGAGAAACGTGTAGGCTGAGTGAAGGTACTGGGATGCCGAGCTGTTTTGTCTTTTAATCTCTCTGGTATTTTTTCCCCCCAAGGCTACCACGGCCCCCCGCATCCCATCCACACGGCTGGCCCTGCACCACTTCGACACGAGCTACAGCCTGCACCTGGGGGAGCTGTGGCCCTCTGTGCGTGCTGGCCTGCTCTGTGAGCAGAAGTACGGCGCCCTCCTCAACAACTTCTCTGCTGTCGACCACGTCACTCAAGAGCTGGAGCTGCTGAATGCCACCGATTTCGTTTCCGAAGCCCTCCAAAAGGCACAGCAGTCACAGCGGGGTGCGGCTGCGAGGGAAGCAGTGAGAGGCTCCCAGGAGGGCTGTGTTCAGGGCAGGGCTGTGATACAGGCAGAGACAATAACACAGGCAGAGTCATCTCCACCGTTTCGTGCCTCCATCATCCCCAAAATCAAGTGTTACACCTTCCCCAGGGGTGACATCACACGCTTTTGCCCTGCACGGTGAGACATCCCTGGACAGACCACCCACTCTCATTGCCAGCCTTGGGGGCTGCTGCTTCCCTACATCCCAGTCCTCACTTCCAACTGTTCTTTTCTTTTCTTTTCCCCTTGCACATTTGCTTGTGTTATACAAACTGGTGCTTTCCAGGCCAGACATTTTGGGGCTCCTTGGTTATTATCTCATGGATGCAGCATCTCTCCTGCCCGTCCTTGCACTCGATGTGCAGCAGGATGACCTTGTCCTTGACCTTTGTGCAGCTCCGGGTGGCAAGACTCTGGCTCTGCTGCAGACTGGGCTTTGTGTAAGTGGAGGTGGGTGTTCCCTTGTTCCCCGTCCTTAAACAGGGCTGGAAGAGCGTGCTGTGCTCATTAATGTCTGACTGTTAATCATTTCTGAGTATAAGAGTTGGAAATCAGGTGTGTTTTTGCAATTTCCAGTGTTCCTGTTGTGTCCCTGCAGGGCATCTGGCAGCCAACGATGTCTCCATTTCCCGGACAAAGAGGCTGCACCAGATCCTCCATAAGTATGTTCCCAGAGAAATCAGGGAAACTGTGAGTGTCACATCCTACGACGGAAGGGACTGGCAGGATGTGGACGGTGGCACTTTCCATAAGGTAGGTTATTGGGAACCGGTGAAGATAAACCCTCTTTTTGAGGAAGGCAGCAGCTTATCCTACAGTATAACTGTGTAGTTTTCCACAATCTTAAATGCAGAGAAAGAGAGAGGACTAAGGCACACAGGGAGTAATATTTCCTCCTGCTATCCCTTCCTTCAGGATCCCGTGCGTATGTGCATCCAGAGTTACCCCTTTATTTTCCTGTGTAATACCATGTAGAAGTCCTATTCTTGTCCATCACCTGGAAGGGGTTAAGTGTGAAGATTAGATAATTCTGTTTTCTCAGCCATGTGCAGCCTCAGGGGCTGGGTTTGATGCTCTGGGAGGCGTCGCTGTAGGAGCACTGGCTGTGTGTGCTTCTGTGACGTCTTCCAGGCAGACACCTAGAGGAGGAATATTAAACGAGGACATGTGCGAGTGTGGGATGTTTTCCACCATCTCTGGGTCTGTTTGCACGTTCCCAAAACGCCAGAGCAGGCAGATGATTACAGTTCAGTGTGGTGCACGCCCGTGCTCAGCCACCGGGAGCTGCTTGTGCGTGGTGAGGGTGGAGGAGGTGGGCACGGGGAAGCTGCACAAGGGGACTCACTGAGCTCGACCTGGGCATGGGACTGACAGGGACCTCTGCTGCTGCAGGTGCTGGTGGATGTGCCCTGCACGACGGACAGGCACTCTGCCATGGAGGAGGAGAACAACATCTTCCACAAGAGGCGAACCAAGGAGCGTCAGATGCTGCCCATGCTGCAGCTGCAGCTGCTGATGTGAGTGAGCTTGATGCTGTGTCCTCGTGCTGTTTGTGTTACAGTAATAGCTCTCTGTGGCCAGCACTGAAACCTCTTTTTACTTTGTCTGTCCCCAACTGGGAAATGCGGAAACCACGTGTAGTTTACTGGAAGAGCAATAGTTGGAAAGCATCAAAGTGTAAGAAGGTGCAAATATTCTTGGTCAGATCACAGGTCCTGCCTGTCCCCAGCAGTAGCTGTAGGAGCTAGGGAGAAGGGTCTAAGGAACAGGATAGGTATTGTGTTGTCCTTTTGGGTGATGGTCTCCCAGATCCCACTGATCAGCCCTGGAGGATCCCTGAGTGCCCACATCTCCCAGCACATAGGCTGCTTCATCACCCCATTTTGCAGGGAAGGCTGGATGGACTCACCATGCTGTGACAATAAGGAAACAGATTAGAGAGTCCCATGGCAGTGCTTGAACTGCAAGAGTCTCTTCCCCTCTACATGCTCTTATCCCATTCCCTTGGACATGACTGCAGGGTTATACCTTCCAGTTGCTCTCCAGTAGCATCTCTCCCATGTTAAATTCATTGTCAGTCTAAGCATCCATTTGACTCATTGCCCTGGCCTAAAACAGTCCTCACGTTGCAGTGACACAAACTGCTGAGTCTGTGGAGTTCAAGATTTGTCTGTCACTTCCTATGAGTCACCTGTTGGCTCCCCAGTTTTGGTGGGTGGTAATGCCTGTGCCCCACGCTCCTCTTCGTCCTGTGACAATCCTGTGTGTTCATCTTGCCTGCAGGGCTGGGATCCTCGCTGCCAAGCCAGGAGGAGAGGTGGTGTACTCCACGTGCTCCCTCTCCCCGCTGCAGAACGAGTGTGTGGTCGAGAGAGCGGTAGAAATTGCAGAAACCCAGTTTAACATCAGTGTCCACGTTGAGGACTTGAGCCACTTTCGGACGCTCTTCCAGGACACGTTTTCCTTCTTCTCAGGCTGCCGGCTGGGGGAGCTTGTTCTGCCTCACCTCACAGCCAACTTTGGACCTATGTATTTCTGCAAATTACGTCGGATGTAGAAGGGGCAACAGACTATGTCTGTTTGCTGTCAGGGAAATACCCTGAATTTCCAGGGAAACTACAACTGCTTTATATTTATTTTTCTTTTTAAAGTGTCCCAAAGGAAGTCCGCTTTTTTACTGCAGACACAGAAAATAAATGAGAAAGACCTGCTGTGAAGTCTCCTGAATGTTTTATCTGTTTGAGACTGAGGTGTTTAATCTAGGAAAGAGAGGTCTTATCAGAGGGAGCGATTTATCCATCTGTGTGGGGCAGGATAAATGGCCCTGTGTGGGTGCTGTTTTCTCCCTCCTGTCTGACTGCTTTGATCCTACATGAGCAGGTTTGGGTTAACAAACACCATCTGGGGATCTCAGTCTTTGTCCCAGATCTCACCATCTGCATAAATGGGTTGCATCTGTCTCTGCTTATCTCCTGCCTTCAGAAAGAGCAGCCTGAGGTCCTGAAATCAGAGGTTCCTAAGAATGCCCCTCCTGTGAGGCTGAAAATATGTTTGTGATGCTGGAGATTTGGTGCTGTGGAAAGGCCAGTGACTGCTGCTATCCCTCACAGACAGGAAGGCTGTGGGAAAGTGTGAATGCTCCTATGCAAAATGCCATTTAATGTTTGGGGGGCAGGTGTTTGTATGATTCCAAATAGTAATTAGTTATAGAACCATAGCCATCAGTGAATGATTACTGGAGTTTATGATAAGAGTTGCTTAATAGCTACATTTTTACTTCTGTGAGGAAAATACAGTGCTGGACAGGGTGGGCATGGCTGTATCCCTCACAGGGCAGCCCATATGAAGTTACTCCAGTGCCAACAAGAAAGTAATATTGAGATTTTGTAACCCTTTTCTCTCAGCACCACCCTGCTTCTGCAAGGGGCAGCATCGATGGAAATGGGGGTGAAGGGTGAAAACTCACCCATGTCCATCCTTGCAGGAAGGTGCAGTGCACAGATTTATCATCATTTGAACCCAGCTTAAGCCAGTCCTGCTCTCTGCATGGCATCCTGGTTCCTTACAGGATCTGTGCTTATTGGCAAGGAGAGAGGTCAGGAAATGGTGTTTCCTTCCTCCTTCCCTCCTCTTTGTAGTCTCTGCACTGCCAATGGCAGTCGTGCAGTGCTGTCCCTTTGGCCCTGAGGGGACCATGGGGGCTATGCCCCTCTCTTCTCATGGCTGAGGGTCTCCACCTCCTTCATGAACTGCAGGCAAAGCTCCTCCTGCCACAGCAAGGCCACACACTGCACTGCCAGGGGCATCCCCACAGCTCCTGACACAGCCTGCAGTGGGCACACAAGCAGTGAGGGGTTACCCCGGGGGCTCAGACTTCCAGCAACTTCTGGAAACCTGGTGTAGGCACGTGGCTCATCCCAGAGAGTGGGGAGGTTGTGGTTTGAGCCCTGCTCTTCGAGTGAAACTGTTACTTGAATGTCAGTCATCAGTGTGCTCCACCACTTTCCGTACCTGTTTCAGCTTCCTGTCCCAGGGGTCATCACAGCATCCTTGGTAAAGCTCCAGCTCTTCCTCACCCGCTTCTGTCACTGTGCTGACGGGTACAACCCCAGCAGGGAAGTTCAAGATGTTGTACAGCATCGTGGAGGAGATGGCAGCTGAGAGCAGCAGAAGAGAGAATCCAGCCAGTCACAGCCTCCTGTCTTGTTTCAAACTTACACATTCCATGTTCACTGAGGCCCTTGAGAACTGTGTGTCTGTCTCCACCTGCTCAGATAGCTTTATGGTCATTACTTTTCCTTCCTAATTCCCATAAAATGCTTAGGTGGGTGGTGAAGCTCCCTGGTACCAGTTGTTTCTCTCCAGTCTCAACCATTGTGGTCCCTCCTGGGAAGGTCCCAGACTCACTTACTGAGGAGTTTCCCAGGGTATCCCGTGGTGAAGGCAGGCCTCAGGACAGGGCACAGCACAACGTCCAGATGGAGTTCCTTCCACTGGGTGATGAACTCTAAGCAGTACACCTTGGGGAGGAGAAGGGAGATGACATGAAGCCCATGCCCATGCCTGGGGCATCTCAGCTTTTTCTGGGTGTGCACCAGGCTCTGGCACAACTGAGGAGGCAGCAGCAGTCAGCAGTGCTCGAGGGAAGAGGCAGAGGAATGCATGTTTGCCTCTACAGCATGTGGCCAGGAATTGGAAAGGTCCCTCTTTAGCCATTCCCTCTCCCAGGACAGCCTTTGTTGTGCTGGGACTGTTGAACATGGATGTTTGTGCGTGAGCTGTGTGGGCAACCGATTAAGTCCTGTCTGGGCTGACCCAAAAGCCCATCTACCCATTCCTGTCTCTCTTTTGTGCCTTTCCCTCTGTCCTGTCTCCTCCCCAGCACCTCCTCTCCTGCACAACCCCATTCCAAACTGATGACTTTCCAACCTGGCACTTGCCATAAAGCCTCAACTTGTAGCAAGATGCCAGAGAGGAAAGTCTTCAAAACATATCTGAATTTGATGGTTATGATTCCACATCCCCTTCACTGACCTGCAAGTGGAAATCATAGCAACATCTTTAAGCTTTAAGAGGAGGAGGAATTGCTTAAATAGGCCTCTGGGTTGATAAGCCCTGGTGATTTTAGCAGTTACTTAAAACAATACAGCTTTCACAATCTAAAGTTTCCTTTGGCATCTGGCCAAGCAATTAGCAGCAAATGTCTGGAAGTGCTGGAGAGAAGGTTTCTTTGATGAGTACTCTGGATTTAGTACTCGTTCTCTTCCACAGGCTTCATGTATGACCTTATCTATCCAAATCCCTCAGTCCTGCCAGGATATCACTAAGGGCAGTGCAGCACTAGGGAGCTGTGTGCCTAAAGGCTGAAGCCATGTCCAGGATAGAAGGACAACCCCTGAAGAGAGCAGGTCAGAGCCTGTTGTAAATCCAGTCCACCCCAAATATGGACACTTAGAGGAGAAGGTATTGCCCCCTTTTCCAATGCCTTTGACAGTAATTCTTTAAGTGACCTAAACCACTCACCTGTGACACCCACCCAGCTGGGGGTAGATCTGCCCCCATGCTGACACCCACTGCAGAAGGGGGCAAAAGCTCCAGGTGTTAGGGAGTAACTAATTTTCTGGTTTGCTGCTTACAGTTTCCATACATTCCCCTTCCCAAATGTCTACCCTTGCCTTTCTCTCCAGCCTTCTTCATCTTGCCCTTCAGAGAGAGCACAGCCTCTCTACACCAGTAGATTCAATCACTGCTACAAAGGACAGAGGTGAAAAAACCTTCTGAAGTTGGTCTGCAGCAGAGGGAAAGGAAATGCCCTCAGTTATTTGCTGCAGCAGTTTCTGATCCTGTCTCATCTTCCTCTAAAAATCTTCAGCTGTTTGTTCCTTCAGCTGTTTGCCTTCCTCCTCCACTCTTCTCTGTGTTCTCTCGATCTGATAAGCTACATGCCCACTGAGGAGGCAGACAGGATAACTACTGATTAGCCCATTTTTTCCCCCTAGTAGTTAGGAATTGTGCCCTCAAAGAAAGCTATGTTACTGGAAACCAGTACTGTAAAGACAACTGGACCCTTAAAGAAGCTGTGCAAGGGGTGGGCAGGCAATGAGGTGGGATGTTTCAGATGGACTCCAGATAGGTCTTGGTTGTCTCAGGTTTTCCTCTGGCCTAGAGGAGGACATAGGGCTTTTCACAGGATACAGAGAAAAAGCAATTAAAAATTCTTGTACCTGCCAGGACCCCATTGACAGGGCCAGTCACTCCAGATAGGCTTTTGGAAAAAAAGAAAGAAGTATATTGTCATTTCAGTAATTGGGAGATATTCCCAATACACTTGAATAGCACAGCAGGGCCTTCAGTTCAGGACCAGAACCAGCTCACAGTAATTCACATCCCCCTGGCTGTAGACTCCCACCTCACCTCATTCAGCCCGAGGAGAGCAGTGATCTCCCTTTCTCTCAAGACAGACTTTCCTCTTGCTAGGGGCTGCTGGCACATCTCCTTGTTATAAAAGCTATGGGGGCATGAGCTGGAAGGAGGAGCTGAAGGACAATGTCAGCAGACACCCCGGTGGGACTCAGACCCTGCAGAAGGACGGGTTACCTGCTCCCTGAACTGCTGGACAGCCTTTGCCATTTTCTTCAGACCCTCATCCCGGGTTTTCCAAGCTTCTTCCATTCTCTTCTGGATCATCTTTTTGCCCACCCATTTCCAGACCACCACAGCTGCCACTGACCCGCCAAGCAGCATGAGGGCAGCAGAAGTATCCACCTTCCTCTCTGGCAGGAGCTGCCTCAGCTGCTGCTGGATCATGATGTGGCCTTTGAGTCTCCAAAGGCCACATGGAGTGAGAAAGAAAAGCAAGGCAGGAGCAGAAGACCTTTCCTGCCTCCCCAGACCCGTTCCTCCTCTCAGCACCACTGTCTTGGGTCAGCAAATAGTTCAAATAGTTCAGTCTGAAGCTGACCCCTGCAAAGCTGCCGTCTGTGGAGTGTGCAAGGGAGAATGATTAACCAGGAAACGGAAAAGGTGACGTTTGGTCAGTGAATCTTGGGGTGGTGGGTTTATAGGGGCTTTCTGGGCTGTGGGAAGCTCTCCACTGGGAATGGCTAAGGGATCAACTGAACAAAAGAAGCAAGGAAATAGCCGTTCTCCTGTTTCCTGTGTAGCCTGAGAGGACAATGGGAAAAGGGGAAAAAACAGCTTGAAATTGCAAGACTTCCTTGCACAGGGATGGGGAATGTATGCCAAGGGGATGCACAGCTGTGGGGTACCCTCAGCTCACCAAATCCCTTATGCTGCTCCCACGGTGGCCAGAGGCTGTTGCAGGAGGTCCGTGCTCGGCACTGCCGTGATGTCTGCATGCACCAGGAGAGGCCGTTCCACTCCATGACGCTGGTATTGCTTTAGGAGTGGAAAATTCCACAGGCTTGCAGGCCAGAAGCAGAGTATTTCCACCAGACATTGGAATAGCTGGTGTCTGACATCTTTCCAGCAGAGATGACTCTCACTACAAACACTAGGAGCCTCACACTTAGCTGAAGGCAACAACCCAGCCAACATCAGCCATGGTCTGTCTGCAGTCTGCTCTGTTGGTTTTGGATGGTGGGTGCTCCCTATGGGTTCCCCCTTCGAAAAAGTATTTGGGCAACTATGGATTGTGCATTACAAAACTTTGCAAGATTCTAGAGGAGTGTGGAGCTGGATATGGAAAGGA